ACATGCTTTTGTGATCTTTATTTGGATTTTGTAATCCTTCGACACGACTGCATCATACTCTTACATCATGAATCTTGAAGAAGAGGAGATGAAAAGTTTGTTAACAATATTTACAAAGATGGGACTGTCTCCAAAGGTTGAGAATCCGGATGACTTTAAAGCCTGGATTCAAGGAATGGCACAACAGGAAGGACCTATTATAAAGACAGAGCCTGATGTCAAAGGCGCCTTCTCAGCCACTAATCCTGAACTTGCTGCTCCACCTTCAACGTCTGGCGTAACATATCACCACTTTCCCAAGATACCATTCTTTAGCGGAGAGACTGGAAAGGACACTCCATATGACTTGTGGAAATATGAAGTTGACTGTCTTCTACAGTCAAAGACTCATTCTCTAGATGTTATACTCCAGGTTATCAGAAAATCTTAACAGGGAGAAGCCGCACTGGTTGCCATGAAGCTTGGACACACTGCCACAGTAGAGGACCTCTTGTTCAAGATCCATTCTGCTTTTGGAACTTTGAGAAGGAAGGAGACCCTGATGTCACAGTTTTATGGTACTTTCCAAGGAGACAAGGAAGATGTTACAGCATGGGGTTGCCGGCTGGAGAACCTCATGTACCAGATAGCCTCCCAACGTCAGATGAACTTTGAGGAACAGGATGAAATGCTCCGAAGCAAGATGTGGGATGGCCTTAAGCCTGAACTGAAGAGCCTTGCTGCCCACAAGTATGATAACATCTTCAACTTTGATGAGCTTCGACTATGTTTAAGGGAAGTTGAGTTTGACATGAAGCGGGATCAAAGTCACAGCACAGGAAAGAAGACAGCAACCATAAAGATGGCCTCTACCTCTGACTCTTCTTCTGCTGTTGCTACTAAGGAAGAAGTGATGGATCTTAAAGCCATGATGAGGGATATCCAGACAGAGCTAGCTGACCTAAAGGAGCAACGTCAACATTCAGCTCAAGTATTTTTTCAACAGCCTCATCAACCATCACCAGCCTCTCAAGGTACTCCTCAGACTTCCTGGAGGAGGAACAGCAAACATTATGGGAAACGGAATGGACCATCACATCCGACAAGCTCGTTCCAGTCCCAGATGCCATCTGTTATGCCTCAGCAACAGCATTCTTACAGTCAGCCTGCGCCTCCAAGGCCACAAGCGCCATATATGCCCCAGCATATTCCACCACCACAACCCCCTCAAGTTGATGGGTATGGATTGCCGCCAGAACCACAGGAACCCATCTATTGTTACCGCTGTGGATACCCTGGACATATTGCAGTTGGGTGTAGAGTGAGACTGGACCATCTTCGACGCCCTTTAAACTTGGCCAGGCCTATGGGAGGGGGCAACCATTAGGCTTTATTGGGCGCCCCAAGTATAAAGAGATTCCAGACGGACTAGTAGGAGATGCCACAGAAGTTGAGATCAGCATTGAAGGATTTCCTGTTCGTGCTCTGTTGGACACTGGTGCTACAGTCTCTATCATATCTGAGACATTTTACAAGAATAATTTACAGTCTTTGCCCTTGGAACCAATCAGTGATATCTTGGATATTGAGTGTGCCGGAGGGGAACAGCTTCCATATCTTGGATATGTGAGTGTAAGACTCAATATCATTGGTGGAGGAATAAGCAAAACTTCGGATTCATGCCTCATGTTAATTGTTCCTGAAACAAGATACAATGCCAAGGTACCCGCTTTACTTGGAACTAATGTGTTGCAGCATTTCTTGAATGAGTGTAAGTTACAACATGGAGCACGTTTTCTTCAGAAGGCCAATCTCCACACTCCTTGGTACTTAGCCTACAGGACTTTAGCATTACGGGATAAAGAACTGGAGCGACGAGGACACTGCCTTGGATTTGTTCGCAGCACAGAGAACAAGAACCTCATCATTCCACCCAACACCAACATGGTTATCAAAGGACAAGTAACCAAGGGGTTCAATTCACCAGTCATATGTGCTTTACTCCAACCTACCAGCTTTGCTTCATTACCACGGGATTTGGACATAGCACCTACGCTTATATCTTACAACTATGACAGTCGGAACCCAGTGGATGTGCACATCTCTAACATTACAACTAGAACAGTAGTTGTCCCTCCTAGAGCTCTGTTGTGTGAGATTCAGCCTGTATCTATTCCGGAGCTACCCACTGGAGAACAAGGTGACCCAGATGACATCATCAACCAAGTCGATGTTGATGACACTGACCTGACAAGGGAAGAGATACAGATGGGACTTGACATCATCATGAAGTTCACAGACATCTTCTCCAAACATGATGATGACATTGGATGTAGCAACATGGTGCATCATCGGATAGATATTGTTGATGAAGTTCCCTTCAAACAGAGACATCGCCGAATACCACCTGCAATGTATGATGAAGTTCGGAACCATCTTCAAACACTACTCTCAGCTGAAGTAATCAGGAAGTCACACAGTCCTTGGGCATCCAATATTGTACTTGCCAGAAGGAAAGATGGGCGTCTCAGGATGTGTGCAGATTTTCGCCAGCTTAATGACCGAACCATTAAAGATTCCTACGCTCTGCCGAGGATTGAAGACTTACTGGATTGTTTGGGTGGAAACAAGTTCTTCTCAGTCCTTGACATGAAAAGTGGTTATCACCAGGTGGAGATCGAGGAAGCTCATAAAGAAAGAACTGCCTTCACTGTAGGACCTCTAGGATTCTACGAGTACAATCGTATGCCATTTGGACTTACCAACGCCCCAGCCACTTACCAGCGTCTCATGGAACGATGCCTTGAAGGCCTACACCTTAACATCTGTTTGATCTATCTCGATGATTTGATCATATTCTCTAACACGTATGAAGAACATATTGAACGACTCAAACAAGTTTTCCAGCGGATACAAGAATGTGGGCTCAAACTAGCCACCAAGAAGTGCAAGTTCTTCAAAAGAAAAGTTCGGTATGTGGGGTACATTGTTTCCGAACATGGAATTGAAGCTGACCCTGAGAAAATTGACAAAGTGCAACATTGGCCAACTCCTTCCAGCCCGGAACAAGTCAGGAAATTTCTAGGATTCGCTGGCTATTACAGAAAATTCATCAAAGATTTTGCCAAAATTGCCAAACCACTTTCAGAGTTAATGCCAAAGTCAGCTTCAAAGAAGTCAAAGCAACCCAAGGACGTTAACTGGATGTGGGGGGAAGCCCAACAGAGTGCTTTCAACGAACTAAAGCAGCGACTCTCCATGCCACCAATTCTGGGATATGCTGACTGTACCAAGCCCTTTGAACTACATACAGATGCCAGTGGTCATGGATTAGGTGCAGTACTCTACCAGGTGCAGGACGGACAGCCACGAGTAATAGCTTATGCAAGTAGAGGACTCAGTCGTTCTGAGAGAAATTATTCAGCACACAAGCTGGAGTTTTTGTGTCTGAAATGGTCTATCTCAGAGAAGTTTCATGACTACTTGTGGGGTCATGACTTTGTGGTTATTACCGACAACAATCCATTGACGTATGTGCTGACAAGTGCTCGATTAGACGCCACAGGTCATAGATGGCTTGCTGCTCTCTCCAGCTATAATTTCAGCATTAAGTACCGCCCAGGGAAATCCAACAGTGATGCCGATGCTCTGTCTAGGTTACCAGTCAAGGAAGACCCTGATGACATGGATGAGATTGCCAAAGATTATGTCACAGCTATTTGTCATTCAACCCATGTGACGAATCTTGTGGAAAGTTTGTGCCTCTCTGCAGATGTGGTTGAAGATGAAGACCTTGACTTAACTGAGGACAGATGTGAACAGAATGCCAGAGACTGGAGACGATCACAGGCTAAAGATCAAGCCCTTGTAGAAATTATCACACACTTGAGGAATGGAGCAAGACCAGACCGGATGAACTACCTGAAGGATCCTGAAATGACATCATTGATGAAGAACTACAGTCAGTTCAAACTCAAGCGAGGAGTTCTATACAGATTCGCCAATGTTAATGGCGTAGACCGGGAACAGCTAGTTCTACCCTCTCGATTAAGAACTGCGGCAATGAGGAGCCTCCATGACAATGTTGGACACCCTGGAAGAGACAGGACTGTATCACTTCTACAGGACAGATTCTACTGGCCAGGGATAACAAGTGACGTGGAGACCCACCTAAAACATTGTGAGCGTTGTCTAAGGAGGAAAACTCCAACCAACATCAAAGCTCCCTTAATCAGCATCAAGACTTCCGAGCCACTAGAGCTTGTATGCATGGACTTCCTTTCCCTAGAACCCTCTAAAGGAGGAATAGAACATGTCTTGGTTGTGACAGATCACTTCACTCGCTACGCCCAAGCCTACCCAACCAAGAACATGTCAGCAAAAACAACAGCAGAAGCCTTTTTCAGCAATTTTGTCATCCATTATGGTCTTCCAAAAAGAATCAATTCTGATCAAGGAGCCAATTTTACAGGGAAGGTGATGCAGGAATTGTGCCAGCTTCTGAAAATAGAAAAGTCCCGGACAACGCCATACCATCCAATGGGCAATGGGATGACAGAACGGTTCAACCGTACTCTTTGTAACATGCTTGGTACTTTGGAACCAAATGAAAAGAAGAACTGGAAGGCGCATGTAGGTCCACTCGTCCACGCCTACAACTGTACCCGCCATGAGTCAACATCTGTAGCTCCCTTCTTCTTGATGTTTGGAAGACATCCAAGACTACCAGTTGACCTTGTTTTTGGATTGGACATGGAAATTCAGGAAAGCAAGTCCATAACAGAGTACACCAAATCCTTGAAGGACCGTTTGAAGCAAGCTTATGACATAGCTTCAACAGCATCTCAGAAATCTCAGGCCAAGCAGAAGACTTACTATGACCAGAGGGCCAGAGCTGCAATGTTGGAACCAGGAGATCGAGTCCTTGTAAAGATTGTGGCCTTTGATGGAAGACATAAATTAGCTAACAGATGGGAGGAAGATGTATATGTTGTGCTGCGCCATCCCAGCACATCGATACCTGTCTTTGAGGTTGGAAAGGAGAATGGAGAGGGAAGAAATAGAGTGCTACATCGTAACCTCTTGCTGCCAGTTAGTTCTTTGCCAGTCAAAATGCCACCAGCCATTAAACCCAGACGACGACAAGTACCAATACCTGTGCCTAAGCCGAGGAAGAACACGGCTGTCGAAACAAGTGAAGATCTGTCTGATGAGGAATCAGCAATTGGCTATACCCGTTCTTCAGAACCTTCAGTTCCTACTGAGATCACAGTGGAAAGGCCAACTGAAGGAGAGTCAGAAGAAGCTTTAGAAGGAGATAAGACTCCTACTGAAGAAGGGAGGGAAGAAGAAGAGCCAACTGATAATACTGTTCACCAGAACGAGCAAGATGAAGACAGATCTGAGACTGGGGCCACAGGTAGTGAGGATGACAGAGAAGAACAACCCAATTTGCAGCCAGAAGATGCTTCTCAGCCACGGCGGTCAACCAGAACCAGGTCACAGCCCAACTGGATGAGAAGTGGAGAATATGTTCTTTCTGCCATAAGTGATCCTGGAAATCCAGAATGGCTTGCCAGAGCCAACTATCTCAATTCTCTGCTAGCTGATGATAGATTCCGGGATCAGCGACACCGAGTGGCTGATACTCTTCTCGATCTTGTTAGCGGCAAGGTCAAATGATGAGACATCATTTTCCTGTGGGGGGAAGTATGTGGCAGACACAAGTATTAACATACAGTTTTGTTGTATATATGTTTTATCTATTTGAGGTCCTTTAGGTTTGTAATATTATTTTAAGTTGTTAGGAAAGTAGGTTCTTAGTTCAATATCTATTATGGGCTTCTGGATTAGTTTACTTATAATGTAGAGGGTGGTTGGGTTGGTCTATGTTTGTGTCATTGTTTCTCCTCTTTGTTCTAACCCAAGCCTTGTTTTCATTGGCTTGTTCAAACTGTGCACTTTTCATCCATCTTGCACTTGACAATACACCCATTCAGAAGTCAGTCAACAATTTGGACTTGGACAGATCTGGGATTAATAATTCGATTAATAAGGTTAGTAATCTTTAATATTGCTAGCTAATATCTATGTATTTGTATAATGATATAACTTATGTTATCTAAGTTATGTGGAATGTTATTTCAGTATTATTAACATGCTTATCTTTGGTATGGTGATTGTGTCACCATATTACTAAGTTAATAATTAAATAAGGCTAAGTAAACACTATAAATGCTTTTCATCCTTCTTCTTCCTGTGTGTGAATGTTTGAGTGAAGGCGTTGATTTTTATCATTGTGTAAATACTGAATTTGTATGCAATGTCAATCATTGTATGGTAGTTAGTAGTTAGTTATATTTCCTCAATTGTATTCTGTATGTTACATTTATTCATAGTTGATTCTGTAATTAGGAGCGTGCTGACAGCTACAAAGCTACCACGCAAGGCGGCTGCCTAGAGAGGACAAACACCCCAGTGTCACCCACAGGGTACGCATAATTTACATGTTTGTTGTGTCATGAAGTATATTTTGTAAATAGTGTATCATACCAAATGTATCAGCAGGTAATGAATTAATATAGTAGTTTCAACAAAGTGGTAATTGAATTTGTAATGTTCATTGTATGTTGGAACCGTGGACCATATATATATTGTAATCTTATCAGTAATGTCGGGATCGAGTTATCGCCCTTGATCAATCGTTTGTTTACTTCAGGGTAAGGTAATGATTTTATATATCATTGATTATTAAGTTCATGTTGATGTAATGAATATAGACTATGTTTATATTAAATGAAAGGTTGCTTTGTATTGTATTAATATATGTGTGTATGAAACCTGTGTACTACTGTTTTTATAATCTTATTGTTTGTACATTACAGGGTGTCATTGTTATCTACTAATAAGGCAATAAAGACTCACACCCGTAGCCTGTGTTGGACCTTGTATTCGCCATCACAAATCCCGGTTATATAAACAAACAAGCATTATGTGATTTAATGGTAATTGTGGCGATCGCGTCTGAATTCCGACACGACCGACCACGCACTCTCCTCAGTAACGAATGCCGTTGCAAGGTTGATACCAACTGTTTTTCTGGTCATCGTTACTTTGCGGAGCAAGTTCAAGCCTTACGCAAGATCTCTTCATCCCTTTTTGTGTTGATGCTGTTAGAGGTTCCAATGCCCTCGGGAAATATTTTTACTTTAAAACTGTTAAATCTTTATAAAAGCCCGTTGACAGATGCCCATGGATTTTAGATGAATGAGGTGAAAAACGTTATATTTCAAAACATCGAGGCGGTGAAAGTGGCAGGAGGTTTTCGTATTGAAAAACTTTGTTGCAGGTTTGAAGCCGGAAGAAAGATATTACCCCGCGATCTTGCGATGATGAATGTTTTTCACGGCGTAAAGTTTAAACTGCAATACCCATGTTGATGATCACCTGTCCATATAAGTTTAATACAGAAATTCTGCAATCAAGGAATAACCTCTGCTTTATAAACTTATGCCAGTTTGACATGAAGAAATAAGTGAAAAAGACGACAACCTTCTATTCACAGACTCAAATCAGACATACAGGTAATATACCAGCACACGTAATACAGGTAATACAGATTGAAGACCAACACACGTAACACAGGTAATACAGGTAATATACCAACACACGTAACACAGGTAATACAGGTAATACAGGTAATATACCAACACACGTAATACAGGTAATACGGATTGAAGACGAACACACGTAACACAGGTAATACAGGTAATATACCAACACACGTAACACAGGTAATACAGGTAATATACCAACACACGTAACACAGGTAATACAGGTAATATGCCAACACGCGTAACCCGTGTAAAACAGGTAATATAACAATACACATGTCATGTCTGTCATGTATGTCTGTCAGGTGTGTCTGTTAGGTGTATCAGGTAGGTCTGACAGGTGTATCAGGTATGTCTGTCAGGTGTGTCTGTAAGGTATGTCTGTCAGGTGTGTCTGTTAGGTGTATCTGTCAGGTAGGTCTGGCAGGTGTATCAGGTATGTCTGTCAGGTGTGTCTGGTATGTCTGTCAGGTATGTCTGTCAGGTATGTCTGTCAGGAGGTGTGTCTGTAAGGTAGGTCTGTCAGGTGAGTCTGTCAGGTAGGTCTGCCAGGTGTATCATGTATGTCTGTCAGGTGTGTCTGTCAGGTAGGTCTGTCATGTGTATCATGTATGTCTGTCAGGTGTGTCTGTCAGGTAGGTCTGTCAGGTGTATCATGTATGTCTGTCAGGTGTGTCTGTCAGGTAGGTCTGTCAGGTGTATCATGTATGTCTGTTAGGTGTGTCTGTCAGGTAGGTCTGTCAGGTGTATCATGTATATCTGTCAGGTGAGTCTGTCAGGTAGGTCTGTCAGGTGTATCATGTATGTCTGTCAGGTGTGTCTGTCAGGTAGGTCTGCCAGGTGTATCATGTATGTCTGTCAGGTGTGTCTGTCAGGTAGGTCTGTCAGGTGTATCATGTATGTCTGTCAGGTGTGTCTGTCAGGTAGGTCTGTCAGGTGTATCATGTATGTCTGTCAGGTGTGTCTGTCAGGTAGGTCTGTCAGGTGTATCATGTATGTCTGTCAGGTGTGTCTGTCAGGTAGGTCTGTCAGGTGTATCATGTATGTCTGTCAGGTAGGTCTGTCAGGTGTATCATGTATGTCTGTCAGGTGTGTCTGTCATGTATAACTGTCAGGTGTGTCTGTGTAGCTATATCTGTCAGGTATATCTGTCAGGTGTGTCTGTCATGTTTGTCTGTCAGGTGTGTCTGTCAGCTATATCTGGCAGGTATGTCTGGCAGGTATATCTGTCAGGTGTGTCTTTCAGGTGTGTCTGTTAAGTGTGTCTGTCAGGTAGGTATGGCAGGTGTATCAGGTATGTCTATCAGGTGTGTCTGTCAGGTATATCTGTCACGTGTGTCTGTCAGGTGTGTTTGTCTGCAAGCCATGTCTGTCAGGTGTGTCAGTTGTGTCTGTCATGTGTGTCAGGTATGTCTGTCAGGTGTGTGTCAGGTGTGTATATTAGGTATGTCTGTCAGGTGTGTCTGACAGGTGTGTCAGTCCTGCACTGATATAGACCAAGATAACCTCGCTCCTCAAATCTCATCTCGAGAACTTAGCCAAGTAACCAATCTCATCACTTTTCCCCAATTCCATTAACGATCCAGACTGTATTCAGGTAAGCTTCTTACATCGGCATTCTGGTTCAAAATACACTTAAATCCAATCATGGACTGGTAAATAGTGAATTAAACCCTCGTCAAGTGCACTCGGGCCTTCAAGTTGTGTACGGACTCGGATTTAGTAGCACTGAGCTACACAAGGCCGGACACATTCAGCACACTTCGGCACATCCCGTCAGGTCTCGGACCCGAAGCTAATTATCAGACCACTATATAAGTAATCCTCTTCGGACAAAAACTTGAGGAAATCCTCTTAATGTTTCTGCAGCATCCGTGACCTCGTTCCTGACGGGAAGAGGGAGGAGCGGGCGTGGAGAGAACGGGACATTGATTTGTGGGTTCGAAAACGCTCAGTTAAGCTATTATTCTTTTCCTTGGGAAAACGCCTAGCGGTTTTGGTTCGAATCCCTGTATTGCACAGATTATGATTCCTGGTTCAACATCAACAACACGATCATCGTTGTCATCAACATCAACAACACGGTTGTCATCAACATCAACAACACAGTCATCGCTGGCATCAACATCAACAACACGGTTGTCATCAACTTCAACAACACAGTCATCGCTGTCATCAACATCAACAACACGGCTGTCATCAACTTCAACAACACAGTCATCGCTGTCATTAACTTCAACAACACGGTTGTCATCAACTTCAAAAACACAGTCATCGCTGTCATCAACATCAACAACACGATCATCGTTGTCATCATCATTAACAATAGTGTCATCATTGTTATCAACAACACCCTCATCGCTGTCATCAACATCAACAACACGATCATCGCTGTCATCAACTTCAACAACACGGTTGTCATCAACATCAACAACACAGTCATCGCTGTCATCAACTTCAACAACACAGTCATTGCTGACATCAACTTCAACAACACAGTCATCGCTGTCATCAACATCAACAACACGGTTGTCATCAACTCCAACAACACAGTCATCGCTGTCATCAACTTCAACAACATGGTTGTCATCAACTTCAACAACACGGTTGTCATCAACTTCAACAATACAGTCATCGCTGTCATCAACATCAACAACACGGTAATTGCTGTCATCAACATTAACAGCAGTGTCATCTTTGTTATCAACAACACGATCATCGCTGTCATCAATATCAACAACACAATCATCACTGTCATCAACATTAACAGCAGTGTCATCGTTGTTATCAACAACACGATCATCGCTGTCATCAACCTCATCAACATGATCATCGATGTCATCAACATCAACAATAGAGCCATCGTTGTCATCAACATCAACAGCAGGATCATCGTTGCCATAAAGAGCAAGGACACCTTTGTCGTCAACATCAATAGCAGTATCGTTCGTGACAAACGGAGTGTAAATAAACCTTCCATCATAACAAATCGTCTTTAATGATGTATTGTATGCGGTTCGTGTTTTCGATTGTATTTGAGATGAAAATTGGATGTAACTAGATGTTTTGGATTTTGTGCGCGTTTAGCACAAGGAAACCGAAATAGATAAGCTGGGCTGCTGCATCATTCCAGACTTTGGCTAACCACAGCAACGATGTCATACATAGGAAAGTGATAGACCGTTCATTACCCATGGCAGCAGGGAGATAATCGCTTTACGTGACGCTACAAACACAACCAATGTCGTCTACGTGTAACAACGACAGAGGCACTGGGCGTCATTAAATATCACGACATCACATGACAGGCTCCATCTTGATGTCCACCTCTCCCGCGAAGAGAGTCACGTAATCATGATTGTATCGCCCATTGTGATAGTTGACAAACTAAAGCCGGCTCAGACATGACTGATTACATGGGAGTTGTGTGGAGGCGGACATGACACATGGTTGCTAGTGACGCATCTCAGGGCTTGTTAGTAAAACGCTGGTTTGGGACCAAGTCTTGTTAACTTTATACTGGTTCGGGACAGAGAAATCTCAACATTACACTGGTTTGGTGCGAGACTTGTCAGCACTACACTGTTTGGAACCGAGGCTTGTCAGCATTACACTGTTTGGAACCGAGGCTTGTCAGCATTACACTGTTTGGAACCGAGTCTTGTCAGCATTACACTGGTTTGGGAGCGAGGCTTGTCAACATTACACTGGCTTGGGAGCGAGGCTTGTCAGTATTACACTGAAAGAAATAGTTCACTAACTTTGTTAGTAAATTTCACTGTCCACTTGGATACTAACATGCTAGTAGACTTTACTAATCAGTTAGTAGATAGAGATAGATCTTCTTTATTTCCTCCATTTCATGAAGAGTACAAGGTATACAGTGAACAGACAACATCTATAGTATAAGTGTACACACACACATATATATGTATATTACATATATGTCAGAAGTAGTTCATATACATATGTATCATATTGATTATTTGTGTTATTAGATGGACAATTAGCATGTGTTATTTACAAATGTACACTTGTTTACAATGCATACATTGTTTAGTATAAGCAGCTTCGGATGACTTCATCCAACTTTTTAACTGCACCACCAATATTTATCATGCTCTCTGCCCATACATTGTAGTCTAATTCAACTTTAAGTTGTTCAGGTAAACCGCCAAGCAGAAAAGTCAGAAAGGTATCATCGTCTGCCCAGATTCTCACAAATATTTTAACATCAAGCAAATCAATGATTTTATCAAATATGATATTTCTTTCTTCTAAATTATTGTGACATGACATGAAAACGTGTTTCACTATATCATTCGCAACTC